TTGCTAAACAATGGGATTTTAATCACATAACTAGTAGCCCAGGATTTCCCCAGTCCAACGGATTAGCAGAACGGACAGTTCAAACTGTAAAAAACATCATAAGTAAATCGATTGAAAGCAAAGAAGATTATCAAATGGGACTACTTGTATATAGGGATACACCTCTTGCTAATGGGTTCACACCAGCAGAGTTGCTAATGGGTAGGAAAATACGCAGCAATCTCCCTATCACAGGATTAACTCTAAATCCAGCAACGCCACCCAATGTTAAAGACATAAAGGAGCAGGAAAAAACAATCAAAAACTCTATCATGATCAGCATGCAGAGAAACTCTCAGTACTAATTCCAGGAGATCGTGTCAGAGTAAGACAGGATGCGAAACCCCACTGGAAAGACAAAGGTGAAGTGTTGAAAAGAGTAATGCCTAGATCGTATAATGTAAAAACGGAAAACGGAGCAGTTCTTAGACGCAATAGGAGAGACTTGTTAAAGATACAGGAGAAAGCGAAGGATAGCACAGAGAAGGAAAAGGCACAGGCAATGGATTTGGCAAGTCGGAAGAAACACCAGGTAAACACAAAGATCTTAGATAAGAAGCCTGAAATAAAAGCAAGCATAGGCACTAGAACCAGAACAGGAAGGGAGATCAAAAAACCAGACAAACTCTCGCTGTAGACCTAAAAATTGTAGTTAACGATTGAACCTCTAAGGAAACATTTTAGTATATTTATAATATAGAAACACTTGTGTTAAAGTTGGGATTTGCGTTAGTTATGGGACATTTATGTTAAAGAAAGGAAGGTGTAATGATATGACGTAATACGGACTGCATGGAAACGAGGGCAGCCTCGTGGGACAGGGACGAGAGAGTTTTGCAAGTTTTACTTGTAGTCATACTAGTGTGAACTATAGCTTAAAGGAATAATAATAACTTAACAACAATAACATCTACAGAATTGGTTTGAAGGAAGCTTATGAGTCCACAGCAAAGAGATTTGTAATCCTTCTCATATCTTGTCGAACGTGAGTTTTCAATAACATTTTTTATATTTCATAGCTCTGTCAGTTCAGAATTGTTCTTCGCAATGGTAAAGTAATGGCCATTCATTAAATCCTGTGTTACTTACAATGGGAATCCTAAACTACACAAACTTGCTTTGTACTGGATAGCGCTATCAGTTCTAAATTGCTCTTGCGAGTGGTTTAGTGAGGGCCATCCCTGATTGCTGCAATACTACAACTGCGGGAAGCCTAAACTAACAAGCTTTACTAATGCGGGGGAGGGGGGGGGGCTTCATCAGTTCCGTTTTATGAGAGTATTTAGCATTAGCTAAAAGAGAAATGTAGAACCACGACTTGTGGATTTGTGAAAACACTCGTCTAATACAAGCTAGACTTATGCAACGTTTAGACTTTTACGTAAACAGCAACGACATAAACTGCAGGTCCCAAACCACGTCGCAGACACAGAATACTACACAGAAGTCCAACTCCATTGTTTTTGCGCGAGCGCTATTCGTCACTCAGCAAGTACCGTAAACAGAAGCAGTCACTCCTCTGGAGGTGCGCCATTTTTGGTATTTTCAGGGGGGGCTGCTTTTGTTTACGGTACTTGCTGAACGTAAAACGTTTTGCGAAGCGTTTGTGGTTGAATTTTACCTTAAATTGAAACTTATATTACGTATATATAATAACATACCTAACATATATACGGTATGTTGGGAAATTGATAATTTTGTAATTAAAAGTGATATTTTTAGGCAACTTTTCATTTGTAAGAATATTCTTAAAGTGCCACTGCGATGGAAAATTGTGCTGTCTTTTTATTGTATATTCAGAAAGTATGTCAGTAGATAAAAAAAATTACCAAATATCAGCGTCCAATTCCATTTCCTTCTGCCTTTTTTTTCAACGCAAACATGCAAATTTTTCGGCCGCCATTACTGAGTTGTCAATTAGCGAGATGTTGATTTCTTAGCCGGATGTGACGTCATTTACTCAACACGCTTCTTTCCCGAAGGAGAAATTAATATTATCAAAGGCTTATACTAGGCTGTTTTTTGTTCAAAATTATGTCTTCTGACGAAAGCCACAGCTCAAATTTTGCAACACAATCATCTTGCGAACTCTCTTTTGCCGAAGACGTTTCTTGTGATAGCGGGGGTGATGCAAATATGGAGAAAAGTGTGGATTTGTGCGAGGCCTATGATACTTCAGTCGAAGCTCTTGCCACTGAAAAAACATAATACACGAAAAGTACTATAACTGACAGAGAGCAAGAGCAGCAAACACTGTCTGCTGAATTGTCTGGGGAAACCTTAACGGGCACCTGGTACGTTTTGGATTGTATTTATTTACGTTTTGGTTTATATATTTGTGACATAAAACAAACATGTGATGGCCATGTTTAACAAAACAAATGGTCACTGGTCTCCTTATAAAAAATCATTGTCACCTCCGTTATATTGCACGAAACGTCTTCAATGAGAGATGGCTTAAAGATGACTGTGTTGCCAAATTGGAAATCCTAACTCACGTAAGAAAACATATTAATTTGCACAAAGTTGTGGGAAATATATTTCAATTATATATATTAATAAATATATTATATACTTCAATAGTATACTTCAATAGTATACTTTAATATATTAATGATCCATAGGTATAAATGTGGTAACTGTGTCCTGGCTCATTGTTGTTTATGTGAACCTTGTAAGAAAAAATGCTGGAAGAAAACATGCATGACTGCTGCTTATTGAACTGAGCATCCAGCATTTGATATTGGTTGTTTGAAACATTGGGTGTTAAAACTTCCTGCTAATGGAAGAGATTTAGTTAATTATGAACCCCCACCCCTGTAGATTTTTCTAATTGTCACTGACAGCTTGTTTCCCCCACCCCTATGGAAATTCTAAACAGTTTTTTACTACTATCATACTTTCAAGCATGATGTCGGTGTTTTAAAAATATCTCGGCAAAATGTTCATTGTTCACATAAACAAGACAGAAACCGTATCTTGGCATATGCACAGCAAGGAAGGGGGTACCTTCTTGAACTGTTGGTATACAGCTCCACACAAGCTTCACTACTTGATATGCAACTGCCCTAAGAAACATACTTTCAAAAAGAAAATTTATATATTAACATGACAGCTTTAAAATTTAGTAATCCAAAAACTATCATGTTATTTGTGAGCTGTGTTCTGCACAAAAACACCAGGATTCATAATACAAGATCCTTGTTTGGCTTACATATAACTTAGCTATAGGCTTTTCAAGTTTTCTTGTTCACATGACAGGATATTTCAGTACCTTGCTCATCTTTACAGGGATTCAAACTTTACTAAATTCAGAATATGATACTCAGATCATGACATTGTATCAGTTTGGCTGCCCCTGGCTGATGAGAATTTCTTACCACTCATCGCCAGAGTAGGGAGTGCTCTTTTCTCACCAACCTACCTGGTAGTCATTCTTTTTAAAGAAAAACAGGGCCCGCGGAGCGTATTAGAGAGTGGGGGGCTAAATCATCAATAAAACCCCCAAGGAAAATGTTCAATTTTCTATTACCTTAAACGCTATTTCCTGCATTTTTGGAGGAACTTTAGCAAAAAATCTCCAAGACCACCGTCATAAAAAGTAACAAAATTTAGACCTTTTACAAACTTAAGTAAAAATAGTAAAAATAAAGTAAAAATAAAGGCAGTTTCAACTCCATTGCGGAAACTTTGCAAAAACCATATGAATATAAATAATAATTTCGTTTCGGAGCACGTGGCTGTGTTGAAGGGAACTTCATGTAAGGTACACATAATGGGGTGCTTAGCCTTTATTCATTTTAATTAGATGCGAAAGTTAAAAA